GTGAAGAAGAAATTGAGTCTGGGTGACTACCTAAGTCGAAAGAATACCCTCACAACCCCGACTACGGAAAAGACTCAAAGCCAAGTAGTCCCCCCACCGTCACAACCTTCACCGAGTTCACAGCCTGGTAACGACACTGCGACGGCTGGAGAAAAGGACAGGAATGGTGCTGATGAGAAGAACGGCGCGGTGGAGAAGAAGGAAGAATCATCGACTAGTCCCGACTCTGTGATGAAAGATGCTCCAAATCCACCTTCGTCTCTACCGTTCACGCCAGCCATCCACCCACCGTCTTCTGTATCAAAAGATCCGAGACTCCACCCATCATGACAACCGGCCCTCCACACACATATCTACCCTACTTCGTGACATTGTAACCTTTCTGCAGACTCTCCGTTTTCCGATTTCGCCTTCATTCCCCTTCTTCTCTTCTCTTTAATTTTCTTTTATTTCATCTTTATCTTATGTGGCACTGTTTTCCTTGCTCGGAAACAGTTGTGACCGAGTCTCCATTCTACAAAAGAAGTTTTTTATTTTCCTCTCTATAGGGATGGGCAAGGCGAACTGGTTGTTATATTTGTGGGCATTCAGCAACGGAAAGCGTCAATGTTGGAACAATGGGTACGGGTGGGATTCCTGGCGGTGGTTTGTTTATCTGTGTTTGGTTTTTCATCTCTTAATGCTTTTTACAGCTTCTTTTTCCTTTTTCTATTTGATTTCAGCTCATGGATTCGGGACGACTCATGATGCACCTGTCTGTCCTCCGTCCGTACTTTACCCTTCTTTTTTTATTCTCCTTATCTGTCTGATCTTTTCTTACACGTTTACTCCTATCCGAGTTTTCGCTGGGGTTGTATACAGCCCTCGCGCTTGTTCGATGTTTTCTCGAATATCCCTTTCCCCCAGCGGGGACAGGCCATGTATGGATTTCTTGTTGTTTCAAACAGCATATCTTGTGAGCTATACTATACTGTTCGATTATCTGAGCTGTCTGATGGCTGCTCTATCTTTAGTATGGATTGACAATGAATGAGTCGAAATTCGACTGACCTATTACTCTTCAATTTTTATCCCAATATCTCGTAGAATTTGCGTGTGTTCCTCTCACATCTACGTTCTTCTCACCGTTCGCCCAGTTCCTGCATACACCCTTCTATCGCTTCCTCGACCTTATCGGCGTCAAAGTCACATGACCAGCTTCCACCGAAAAGGGTTTAGCTTATCTTCCTCCATACATCCCTTCTATCATCTTTTTCAGCTTCAACTTTCTTCCTTTCTCAACTCCCACACTCCAACAACGTCAAACCCGAAAAAAAACCACCCATCATGGCAACTTCGCTGCCAAACCCTCACCTCGCCGACCCCCTCCTCTCCCTCCGCCGCGCAATCGCCTCCTCCCCATCCTCCGCGCCCATCCTAACCACAACAGACGACCTCTCCGCCGCCGAACAATCCACAACAACCGACCTCTCAACCGCAACCCACCTCTACATCACGGACCCAATCCCACAAACCATCCCCCTCTCCACCCCGACACGCTTCATCTCAACATCTACATCCTCAACCGTCGACCTCCGCAGTATCGTCTTCGCATGGCAGAAAAAAGATGTCGCTATCCCGGAATATATCGATTCGGCGCAGGAATTGAATGAGGCGCTGAAGACAGGCGGGGAAGGTGCGGGTGGGGTGCAGAATCTTGTGTTTGTGGAGAGGTTGGATTTGATTACTTGGCTTGAGGGCGCGTCGGAGGAGAGTGAGTATATCAAGCCGCTTGAGGGTGTGGATGCTGCGAGTGCGGCCGCGGCTGCGTCTGCTTCTACTGCTGCAGCAGCAAATGCCGCTGCACCATCGGCCGGTGCGACTAGTGCGGCTCAGGATTCGGCGAATGTTGCGTCCGGAGCGGCGGGTGGGGTTGCTGCTGTTTCTAGTGCTGGTGCTGGGGCGGCTGGAGTTTCGGGGAGTGGGGTGGGGAAGACGGTTGATCCGCGGTTGTTGGAGATTTATAATGGGGAGAGGAAGATGGGGGATCGGAATAGTGTGCTTAGGGGGATTAAGCCTACGGTATGCATGGGTTGTATTCTTTTTTAGTGCTGATGGTTTTTTGACTGACATTTGCGATAGGACTTTTCGCATGTGCGCAAAACTGCGGAGACTTTCCTCGGACGGAATCGTGGACAGTATGGCGCGAATGGAGCTCGTCAGCCGGGAAATAAGCTTCCTCACCCACAATCTACAAGCGTTTCAATCCGCAAAGCGCCAGGATCTTCCGGTTCATCCTCACATCCCAACCCAATCATCCTCCTCTCTCCCTCCGCCTCCTCCCTCCTCCGCATGACGAACGTCAAATCCTTCCTCTCAGACGGCGTCTACGTTCCCCCCGACCACCCGACCCTTGCAGCCTCCACAGCCCCCAACATCCTCTACATATCCCGACCCCTCCAAAACCTCAACTCCTCCAACACAACCTCCAAACCAATCTCCTCAACCTCAACATCCACCACCTCAGCCGTCAGACCCACGCGCTTCATCGTCGTAGACTCCACCTCCAACTTCCGCCCCGACTACTGGCCCCGCCTCGTCGCCGTCTTCACAACAGGTCAAACCTGGCAATTCAAATCGTACAAGTGGTCCTCCCCACCTGAACTCTTCAAGCACGCAACAGGCATCTACGTCGGGTGGAGAGGTGAGGATGTACCCCGTGAAGTAAAGGGGTGGGGACGCGGAGTGCGCAGTTTCGCGGTGGATAGGTGGGATGAGAAGAGTGCGGCTGGGATTGCGGCGGGCACGGGAGGTGCGGGCCGGTGGAGGGATAGGGAGGTTGTAGAGGGGATTTGGAGTGCGATTGAGGAGGGGATGAGGGCTAGGGGGTGGGGTGCGAAGTAGGAAGGTACATACTACTAGTAGGCAGTGGTTACTTGGGACTGGTAAATGGAATGGGATGGATGATTGTATTTCTAAGGATATCTTCTCTTTTTCTTTTTTTTTTCTACACTATTCCTTTATCATCTGGCTGGCTGGCATGGCGCTCAAAGTTATATTTCTTTTCTACTAGCCGCTATATTCCCTATAGGAGAAATAAATAATTTATTCTATGACTCTACGATTCCGCGAATGTACCGATCTATATATCAGGTCCTTATTCTCTTGATTGTCAGCTTTTGAGCATGAAAAATGTCTTGCGAGATTGCTTCTCTTCTCACGATTCCTAAAAATAAAAAATCCAGTTCCAATAATAGAAGGCAAGACACGTGGAATGCCAAAGGGATGCCCCACGGGTCAGTGCGGAGTATATAATCACTCCCAGTCCTGCATCCAGTCCAGCACTCATCTTCAGTTATAAACCCCATAGACAACCTAGAAATATATAACTAGAACTAGTACCAAGTAAAATAATCACACCACCTATCTACCTAGGCCTAGAAAATGAACTTCCTCGACTTCCCCCCCGAGATCCGTCTTCAGATCTACACCCTCCTCCTCGACCCCAACCAGTACAAGTCAGGCTACAAACAAATAACCCAGCTCATGAAGGAGTCCCACGACAGCTGCACTAATACCAACCGAGTCCCCCACGTCACATTTCCTCGCCTCTACGTCACGCGCTACACGCCCTCCATCCTACTCCTCAACCGGCAGATCGCAACGGAGGCCCTCCCCGTACTGTACAACGCCGAGCTCACACTAACAGGCACACCTGGCGCATACTTTGTTATGCGACAGATGGACATCGCGGAGTTCATATGCGAGACCCTCCTGCAGCGGATACGCTATGTAGTGCTTCGGCTAGCTTACCCAGAGAAGTTCTTCGTTCTGACGCTGTTGGATATTTGGGGGAGGGGGAATGAGTTGCAGCGGGTGGTGGTGTATGTCCCCCCTGAGAGGAAGAATGGGGATGGGAATTGGGGGGTTGTGGAGAGCCGGGTATATATGCCTTTCCTTCTTTTAATCTGAAAAGTCCATGCTGATATCAAAGTTTTCCACAGTTGAAGACATTTACACATGCGGAGGGGATTCATTTCGAAATGAGGATTGTTGATAATCCACTCCGGAACGGGGAATGAGAGCTACCTATTTATGAGCTTCCCGGGTCTCCAAACATGGCGTCAGGTGGTCAGGGGCGGGAGCTGTAGGATACCAGGGGGGAGGCCCGTGAGGATCTTCTCGAGTCCACAGCCATCACTGAGTCCACCTCCGCGAACGATACTCTGTTCCCTGAGTGGCATAAACGCCAGCCCAGTAATCTGTCAGGGTTTGAGCTTCAAGAGTGTCTGGGGGTTTTTGAAGATGACCGAGTTGACGGGATCCAGGTGAAGTAGGAAGTTTTCAGGACTGGAGATGCCCCGGCTCGGGTGCGGAGACTTCGACAAGCATCGCCATTATCTTCTGTGCCTGCTTGTCGTCGCTCGTGGTACGGAGCTTCTAAAATCTAGATGGGCAGTCGATTTGTGGTTGTCTAACATTAGATATTACCCGGCCATGTAGATAGGTAGCATATAATAATAACTTACGATATCCATCTCCAGCCCGAATAACGATCCAAGTTTTCCTACTTCGCCGCCGAATCTGCCCGTAGCCGCAGAAAAGTAAAAAAGTGTAGAAATGCGCCCCGTATCGGCGCAGCGCAGAAAATGGTCGCATTCGTCGAAAAGCCACGATGTCTTGGCATCAACCCTTTCCCCGTAATCATTCATGGATTTCGCGGATAATTGAGAAACCCGCGAAAATCTGCCTCTCTTGCGTCCAACCATTCGCTCGTCGTCGCCGTCCTCACTTTTCCTTTTCTGTAGACATCACTAAGTGCTTGTTAGCAACTTGTCGGGGTTGTATATCTAAGAGAGGCTGTAACTCAGAAGTATTCCCCACCCGTACCCCAACGACCTATTTATTATTGAAAAAAAAGAGCTCATGAAAAGAATTCATTCACCCAACGAATCAATTCACTGAGAAGAGAAGACGGGTTCAGAAAGCAATTCTCCAAAAAAAAAAAAAAAAAGAATAAGCGTCAGCACGAGGGTTCGAACCTCGGCTCCCGAAGGAACTAGATAGCATGAATTTTAAATTCAAGTCTAGCGTGTTGACCACTCCACCATACTGACATGAACAAGTGGAGTTTGTTCAAGAATTAGGGATATATTGTCAGCACCAAAAAGTTCGGCGATGCTATCTACGAAGATGCAGAACAGTGCCATTATTATTGCTAATTATTCGACCGGGAACGACGCCCTCGTTTCTATTCTAACCATGAGATATACATGAGATATAGAGAGAGCGGAAGAACTCTCAACCTTGATGGTTGAATTCATTCCAACTGAAACCATTCAAGTCCAATAATCATGCACGTATCAAAAGAGTGTCCGTTTGTCCTTTGCAATTCATTCCATTTACATTTCCATCAATTATTATATCCAGCCACTCCATCCAAGCTTGTCCTTCCTAAGTATAAACCCGAGAGGGAACAGCGAGTTGGAAACCTTTATTACTGCAGTAGACAGGCAGCATGGGTAAGGAAGAAAAGATGGGAATATTAAGAACTCAAAGAAGGCAACCAAGACAAAAAACATCAATCAACCGAAAAGACAAAGCTGAAGAATAACAATAGGTCTAAGACACCCGATATATGATAAGTAAGATAGATGTGTATAAGATAGATGAAAAAAAAAAGTAAAAGAAAAACTCCCAAATGCTGCCATATGGTTTTGATAAGAGAAGAAAAGAAAACAGACAGACACAAGACACAAATTACACGAAAGCGGAAAAACAAAGGATATAAAACGATGTCTTTCCGTCTCTTCTGTCCCCAGCGAAGCTTCAACGAGGAAAAGGGAATCAATAACGAAAAAAAACTGCCATGCAAAAACAAAGAGATGCTATGCACCCAACCAACCCAAGCGAGTAATAAACCGAAGCCAGTCCAGTAGTGTATGACAAGTTGCCGCCGCGAAAAAAAAACGTACAAAGGAAAACATATAAATATAAGTAGGAAAAGGGAAAAGAAAAACCCGGGAGCCATTATAATTTTTCTCTTTCCCATTTTTTGAAGCACCAGGACATAGTAGTAACGGAACGGAAAAGGACCAGGGTAGGTAAGGTGCCTGAGGGCGAGATGCAGAGGGAAAGCGTTATGCGTTCTAACAGTCTGAGGTCGCCCAATCAGTCAGTCGTCGTGAGGTGAAATTCTATACATGGAAACCATGTGATCTATGCATAGCTAAATCCATTTTTGCTCGATGCTCGCTGCGAAGGCGGTAGATAAAAAGGAAAAACGTTGGAGGGTCGTGATAATTATGGTTGAGTGGAGTCGTTTCCTAGAAAACGGGCGAGGTGAGGAAGGTCGTGGTGGTAATCCGTTGGACATATCGAGCCGATAGCGTCGGGGCGAGAACGGGACGGAGCGATAAAACATTGGCGGGAGGTTGCGATAGAGAATGCGGGAAGTCGTCCAGACCTCATCATATTCTCTTCCTGTTTGCTTCTTTCGTCCGGGTCCAGCCCAGGCCATGATACTGCATTATAGTGCATGACGGGAACTAGGTCGGAACCTATCCCCTACACATAACTCGGAGACTGACATATACAATATGTAGTCCAATGCATATTCATTCAAGATGTGTGCGTATCCGGTCAAATACTTAATGAGGCACCTGGGGATCGTGGATGTGATCTCGATCGCTCGACCAGCGATGGTTACTCCAATGAGCAAAAGACCGAGGATTGATTATATGCCTGTCCACCTCATGGTCTAATCGATCGGCTCATCGAGCGTTCCGGTCCCGATCCTCTACTAGGCGAGAACGACCTTCCAGTCGTGTCGAAGTTATGCTCACTTAGGACATCCGCGTATTTTGGGTCACGAATAAATTTAGGCACCGAGTCCTACGTCGACGATAAGAGTTAGAACCATACGAGAAGACGACACGCGTGATGGGGAGGCTTACACTTGACATGAGCTTAAAGACGGAAGTCTGCGCTAGTTCGAACAGGCCGACAACCTCCTGAAGACTCTTCAACATTGATTCATCATCACCAACCGCTCTTGTCATACGGCTGGCCAGACTGTTCCGCAAGGCGTGTTCGATGTTCAGTTCGCACGGAGAACCCGGTGCCAAGAAGGCATTGTACAGACCTGTGCACCCAGATTAGCGAAAGGCGGGGAAGGAGGGTCTATTTTGGATAAAAGTTCAAAACTCACCATATGCTGCAGCCAATGTTTCCCGAACTGCATCAGGCTTGCTGAAATTACCAGCCTTATCCGCTTTGTGATAGTTGCTCGTAAACTCCGACACGTCGACGTAAAATGACAAGTTCTCCTCACATAACGAGTAACGCAGGAATTCCCGAAACAATAGCCTTAGCGCTGGATCTTGCAGGATATTGTTGAGTCGGGCATTGTTCGAGTCTCTAGGCGCGGCCTTGCCGTTGTACGAGGAAACCAGAGATTTGTCTCGTGCGATCCATCCGCATATCCGTTGACCCCGGTCTGTGACACCATAAACGGCATACTTGGTCGGTTGGAAGACGGTGGCTGTGGGGTCCTGTTGCACATAGGACTTGTCCTCCATGACACACCACATGAGTCCATGTCGGACAAACAGCTCTGCAATCTCAAACGTTTCCCGACGGTCGATGGTCATACAACAGTCCATCAACCAATCGACCGCAGCTTTGCCCGTAAACGTGTTTTGCACCAACTTGTCATTGATCTTTCTTTCCTTCGCCATTTTCACTCCAATCAGACCATTGGTGTAATCGCTCAATGAGTCGGAGTCCGAGGTAGAGACGCTGCTCTTGATGTTTGGACCATCTTGCCCAGCGAAGCGGCGGAATATCACCTCAATTGTGCCACGGTCGTGCGAGAGCTTGTCGGTTGCAACATCTCTTTCCAGAATAACCAATTGCATGGTATTTCGGGGTGATTCCAGCACATCCAGAACATGCCTTGCAGTAATACCGTTTCTTTGGCAGAAAACCTGCAGGACACAGATTCCTTTTGGCGTAAGTTGGAAGAGGGCTCCTTTCATTGGGAAATGCGTGATTGGCCGCCCATCCGCCTGTTCGATAAATCGAGCATCAATAAATCGTTGGCATACGGAACGGGCCATCTCTTTGGCCATGGAAAAGGTGGTCGTCGTAGTAGTCGTTACAATGCGAGACGGATCTTTGGGATCTGGCATACGATTTGATTGCGAGAATTTAAGCGAGCCCAAATTGTTGATAGCCTCTTCTGATGTGAATGTATGCTCGAACTTGGAAAACCGTACACGATGCGACTCTAGCTTCAAACTGACCATTAACGTAGCGAAGAGATCTTTGAAATCCTGTTCAACATGTTAGCAAATCATGGTGGTTTCAACACCCGCCAAGAGAGGTCAAATATTTTTGACACCACTCCACCCAAATTTTTTAAATGCCATACCTTCGTAAACGGTCTATCCTCATTCGTCATCCGAAGTAACCTCGACGATGTTTGATGCATTCTGCTCTGTGGGCCTCCTAGAGCCTGTAAATCTGGTAGCGGGGACGGTGCCCTTCTGAAGTTCAGAGGATTTCCCTGGATAGTATGCCTCCGATTCGACGACGGAGGACTGGACGAGGTCTCGTCCGTGGGCGTCGGTGACGGAAGTGGCTGCGAAGCGGTGGTCTGGTGGTGCTTTGGCTGTTGTTGCCTGTGACGTGACGACTGTTGCGGCGTATCCGACTGTGGACTATTGTCACCGGTACCTGATGTGGTAGGGGTGATTGTTGTATCCTCTATTAATGGTTCCCCAACGACACCGGTACGATCACTCTTCACCCCCTCAGCGGTAGCGACAGGAACGGAGGTGGGAGCGGGAGCGTAATTGATAGAGTTCCGCGGGAGACTTCCCGACGACGAGGCACTACGTAGGGAGTGGTTGGACGGGGAAGAAGACGACGAGCCGATGGAAGTGAAGTTGGCAAAGGCGCTGGAGGTCTTCTCGAAGGCAATGGAGGCCAGGGATCGTCGACTGTTTCTTGAAACGGAGACGGTTGCCGATCCGGACAGAGGGTGGTTGTGGACAGCGGAGGGAGGAGGAGAGCAGAAGTTTGGTTTGGGGGAAGAGGAAGAAGAGGTGGTTAAGGATGAAGACGAAGTGGGTTCTGGACCCGAAACAACCTTGTGGGACTGGGTGTCAGAGGATGATGGTTCGGACGGGGGTAGAAGTTGGATGGAAGGAGTTTTCAGGTGTTCGGGGAGTTGTGGAGGAGTATCGGTGACCACGGATGAAGCCGAAGAAGAGATATCTTGTAGGAGGGAATGTGATGGAGAGTGATCTCGGTGTCTATCGGGATTTGAAGGTAGGGTGGTCATTGAAGTGAAGGGGAAGGGGGGAAGAAGAGAAAAGAGAAGAAAGAAGCTAGAAGAAGAAGGGTAGGAGAAGAAGAAGAAGAAGAAGGCGAAGAAGAAAATGAGGTTTATCGATTGTTTCGTCGTTAGTTTTGGTGTGGTGGAGAAAGTGTGTATGGAGAGAGAAGAGGGAGAGAGAGAGAAGAGACTGAAAGAGAGTGAATGAAAGAAATGACGATGATGAAGTTCGGGTTGTTGCTTTGACTTTTTTTTCTTTTCTGGGGGGAAGAAAGAAAGAAAGAAACAAGACACAGACAGAGACAGGCAGAGAGTGACAAGAAAGACAGAGGGCAGAGGGTGGTATGGTATGGTTATGACCGTAAGGTTTGGTATATACAGGGAATTACTTAACAGTACAACAGACGTGGTGGTAACGAAGAAAAGGAAAAGGATGAACCAACGTTGGAATTCGGACCAAGTGGAGGAAGTGACTATCGGTACGAGATGATGGTCTTTGATACTTGATAGAGCAGAGAACCAGTTCGGGATCGTTGGGAACTGACCGCGATGCACAGAAAGAAAGAACTGTTGTACAAGTGATCAGTGATCCTGACTGATGTGGGACAAGAGAAGACAGGTGGTGATGTGTCTTTCTTTCTCCTTTTTTTTTCTTTGTTTCGACTTGGTCCAACTGCAATGCGACTCTCTCATCGACATCGGGTTGCCGGTCTCCAGGTTCAGGTTCCTCAGAGAAAGCGTGTTCTTTTCTGCTGCTGTGTTCATGGTTCCCAT